TGAATGTCCATTTCTTTTCTAGAAGTTACTAGAGTCCTATAGTAACTGTTTTACCTTACTTCTTTAACATGTACTGGAGTATCAGTAGAACAACATTTCTGTTGCAGAACATTCCTAAGACTGAGAGCTGGCACACTTTATACGTTCAGCTAAGTGGTTTCGTAAATGCAGATTATACGAAGGAAAGCTTTTAAAAAATGGACAATTAGTGCTTAAGAAAAAAAAAGCACTATGGCTCAAGTGATCCAAGTGGCTTTTATGCTGTGTTATTATGTGGATTACAACAGCCTTTACGGTTACATAATAATACCCATACAGGGTCAGAGCAAAAGCCTACCGAGACCAGTATCTGAGAGGTCAACCACAGTCACACACTAACAATAAGAGAACTGGCCAAGAAAAAGAACAGAGGTTTAGCCAAATCACACATCAGACTGGGTGTTGGGTTTGAATTCAGTTCTTCAGTTGACTGTTAAAAGAAAGACTCAGCCTATTCTACTAGGTCAGAGAAGGGATTGGGAATTACTTTATTTCCATTGCCAACAAGATTTCCTGTCTCTTAGCTTCCTGATGGCAAACTTGTAAATGACCAGTGCCTACTAACACCTCAGAGGAAAGGAAAGAGAATTTACTATTTTTTTCCCTCACAAATGCAGAAATAATCCCTGGAGTAAACCAGCATTCTACAGTAACAGTTATCAGTAACTATATTCCAACAAACGCTTTCTACAGATAGAAGAAATTTGGTTCTTGTTCTTCCTTGCACTCTTCCAGACAGAATATAAAACTCCTCTGTAAAAAAACAAAAATAGCAAGAAAAAATAGTCACCATAAGCCTGAGCACACTGAACTGCCTGCAGAGATCATCACCAGGCAGTGAGAATGTCTTCTACCTCTGTTGCGCCAAATAAAATGGCCAAGACCTCACAGAACTGAGCTCTAAACCCAAAGTCTCAGGGTACAGGAGAAATGATCCTGCTCCCACCTGAAAGAGAGACAGCAACATCATGAAGGACAGGCCTACCCCAGTGAAAACTGCACAGTGGGGCCACAGAATGAAGAGCTTCTTGAGGTGCAAGCGGAGTAAAGCAGCTGCTCTCCACTCTAGCACAAGCGGTAAGAGCATCTGAATATCATCTGCCAACGTGGCAATAGATGATCCTGACTTGATGAAAGGCTTTATGATGCATTTTTGCTGAGGGGCCTGTATGAGGCACCCTGCCCTACCAAACATCGCCTAGGCTTCCCTTAGATGGGCACTGCATATGGACCATCCCTTGAAAGCCTCCTAGGGAGCTCAACATCTCTGTTTTCCTGGCTTCTCCATCTTCTGTCTTCATCAGCCCATTACAAAGTCACTGCAGTTGACCCAAACGGAATTCTGCTCTGATCTGAGCCTAAATCCAAGAACGGCAAGGCTCTGTTCTCAGGCACACGGAATAGCCGTGAGCACACACTCACAAGTATCCTTTGCAAACCCCCTGCAAGATGCCCAGGGCCAAAGCCTACACTCATGCTGACTCTTTCTACTCCGCCCTGGGGTCTCAAAAAGTGGCAGCTCCTGCTGTACGTTTACAGAAAAGCCTCTCCTTCAAAAAGATATCTTCAAAAACACCAAACAAATCTCACATTCACGTCAAGAGACCAAGAGTTTAAGCAACACAAGGGAGAAGAATTTGGAAGCAAATATACAGTATTTATCCAGTGTATTCTTCAGCTTCCAACAATTTGCATCTCGGAGATTTTAAGAGCTCGGAACTAAACCTCTGAAGTTCCTTTCACATTTCACAATAAGGACTCTTGATCAGACACCTTTAAATTCAGTTTTTCAACAGAACAACTAACTCCATCCAGAAGTTATTTATAAACTATTTTTCTGAACTGAAATCCCCTGAGAAATATTGCATTTCTATTTTTAAAGGCATATATGTATACTGCTTGTATTTACTGGTCACTAACAGCAAAAAAAAAAAATGTCTTTCTGTACTCCTTTTAAGTATGTTTAACTATCATAAGAGAAGAAAGAGCCACCTATTGTTTATTCATTCTTCCAATATTTAGTTTGAACTAGACAGCTCGGTGATGCAAACCATTACACAGGAAACGCAGCTTTGAGTGAGTCTTGTTTATCTTTCTATCAGATTCTTGAAACAACTGAAACTTAAAAGTGTAAAGATACACTAGTAGTATGCTTCATACTGGAAACTCAACAATTTAAGAATGCAAAAGATTCTTCTCTTTTTATCATCATCTTTCTCTTTTTTTTTTTTTTTTTTTAAGCAGTATAGTCCTGTACTAACAAAAATCAATTCTTCTGAGAAAATACACTCCCATACAACTGAGAAGACAAATGGAAAGGAGCCAAAGAGAGGATCCACATCATGTTTCTGGTTTGTCCTGTGAGACACTGACAACTCCTGTGATTAGAGGGAGTGGTAGCAGTATCTGCTTCCCACCTCTCGAGATGTAACCCAGTGCAGGCAGCAAAGCCGTTTACAAGGCTGGCTGTCAGGCAGGAAGTGGGATCTATTCCGTCACATCAGTTATTCGCACCTAAAGAATTCTCACAACATTTCTTGTAAGATGCTGCTTTACGAGTAAAATAAGGAAGGCGCTGAGGGGAAACGCAGGCAGTCTCTATTGCGGTCACATAATTTCCCACAAATTTAAGAAAAATAGCGTACCTACTACATTTTATAGGCCATTCAGAAAAACTTATTATGCTCACATACCAATTAAAACCAAGGTAAATTTTGTAATTTACCTGGTTCTACAAACAAATACTTTAGCTATTATTTAAGATGATATATTCTGTTCAAAAGACTAAAACAATATTCCAAAAATTGTAATCAACAAATAAATGCCTCTTAGACAACAAAGCTCTCAAAATGTCCTGCTTCATTATCACATTCTCTAGACTGAGGCAAGCCAGTCTTTGTGCAGAAAATGCATTTTTGACAGAGGTGAATAGCTAGCTTTGTGTCTAGACCACTTCTGAAGCTTGGTTTTTGGAACAAGTATTAATCCCGTTTGGTTTCCTAACAGCAAATGAATCAGGTTCCTCAAAGAAGTTACATGCCAATGTTTTTATCTGAAAAGACAAGGAGGACCAATACCCTAATAGCCAGGGGTTCCACAGGTTTTAACTCTTCCTTATGTTTCCTCTGGTTCAAGTTGTGTTTTAATGTCTGTTGACCAGTGGCCCTGCTTCACCAGCGGCAGAGGAAGACAGCTCAGGTCCAAAACTGTCATGCAGGGCACTCTAAAGGGGAGAGAACTGTGGAAACCCTAAAGGCGTAAGGAACGATCCAACCTCTGCTTCCACTTCTCAAACAAGTATGCTGAAGCACAGATGTTTGTTAGAATAAGGTACAGTACCTACACTCAAGAAGAAAATTTCTGTCATCTCAGAAAGGAAAGAATTGCTTAAACCTGAACACGAGGCAGGATCTCAGATAGCTTCTCTAAGTACTTCACATGGAGCTAGCCCCAAGTATTTCATCAAGCCCTCTCAGGCCAGGTGGCTCTGCTTGGCACGCCGACTCCCTTGGCTCCCACCACACACCAAGTCAAAGTTACCAGCACAGGATTCTGATGTTGGATAGGAGGCTTACACAAGTTAGGGATTTCCCCACCACCATCAGCTCCACACTTTCAAATGAAGTTCTGTATATGTAACTGTACATGAGAAACCGAGAGTTTGGGGCAGCTGCCAAAATACTGTCTAGGTGCTTGAGGAATAGATGCAAAGTGGAATGATATCCCTCTACTGTTCTTATGCAAGGATACTTTTTTACTTTGCACTCCAAGCTAAATAGGGATACTTTTTTACTTTGTACTCCAAGCTAAAATGATTTATACCGACACTTCACGTCACAGATTTCAAATAATCCTCACGGAACATCATTTGCAATAATTGAATATTAACTGGTCAAAAAATAAGAGTTACAAACAAGTGAAGTTTGATATGTCATTTTCTACCTATTTTTACTCAGGCACATCAGAGACAAAGCCAGGAAAGAATGTTTATTTATACAAAATAAGTTATCTCAGTTTTTAAACTCCTTAACATATCCAGGCAGCTACACTGCTCAAACCATTGGCCTCTCACTTTACTTTAAGGGAAATATCTTGAAAGCCTAGTTCCCTGCCTTCAGAAGTTTCCCATGATACCAGAGATGCAGTACACTTTTAAGAACACAGTGTCAGAGCGCTGCATTAGTGTTTTATTTGAAAAATTGGTATAGTCAGTCATCCTACTAGATATTTAGGGGACCACACTACTATATCTTAAGTCAAATGGAAGAAAATATATTACCACAATACTATATTAACAATTAATGGTCATTAGAGGAAAATAACATGATTCCCATATAAACCACAGCATAACTAACCACACAGCTAGATAGATATACTCAAAGAGTAAAAGGCAAAATTTAAAAACACCATCATCGTAGTTTAAGAGGCCAAAGACATAGACCTGGTAACCAGTGCTGTCACCACAGACTGTAAGCCTGGTAATTCCTACACATACCCGAAATTTTGACAAAGGAGTATTTTCAGCAGCCTCCTCACAGACTACAAATGCACGCAGATGTGCATCGCTGAGATACACAGTTCAGAACCGCTCCGCTTGCAACGCACCAGTAAAACTTGAAGCCGAGTCCTCTCGGCAGAGTGAACACCGAGTCTCACCGCGGGCTCGGTGAGAAACACACAAGCCAGGCCGGGCCGAGAGACCGGGCAGATGCAACAGGCGGTGCAAGAAGCGGAGTTACCGGCGCTGCTGCTGCTATCCCTAATCCCCTCTCCACGGCGAAGGGCTGGAGAGAACCTACGTCCCTAAAGCGGATGGTGGGAGAGGCTGGGGAAAGCCACCGCAACACTCACTGCAACAAAAAAAAAAAAAAAAAAAAAAAAAAAAACCACAAAACAAAAAAAAAACAACCAAGCGCCGCCGGCTCACAGGCAAAGCCCACCCCCCCGGCGCGCCCACTCACTTTTGGTCGCGGCGATCAGGTTTTTCCCATCCTTGAGCAACTCCTTGATAAACTTATTGGTCTTCTCCAGCTCGGCTTCGTGGGCTCTCACCCGCTCCCTGAACCAGGGGCTATCCAGGTAGCAGTCGCTGAACTCCAGGGGCTGCAGCCCCATGGCTGCCGCGGCTCGCCTCCCCGCCAAGCCCTCCCCGCCTAACGCCGGCAGCGAAAGCGGCCGCGGCCACAAAGAGACCCGCGGTGGTGGCGGCGGCTCCCCCCACGCAAGGCTGGCCACGGGCAAAGGCGAGGCGAGTGGAACCGCCCTCCTGGCTGAGGGGGGGGGGGGGCGGGTGTCCCGGCTCCCCACAGCCCCGCCCTGCCGAGCCGGGGCCTGCGGCGGCCGTTCCACCAGGCCGGGCGGCGGGGCTCGGCCTGCCCCCTCCGTGACGCGGGGGGAACGCGGGGCCGTACCCCCCCGTACCAGCCGCCGCGACCCTGCACCCGAGATGTGTGTGTGTGTGTGTGCGTGGGGCGGCGGGGGTGTGCTGCCGGGTTTGTGCTGCCGCGAGTGCGTGATTCACCCCGCTGCGCAAGCGGCCGTGGGCTGCGGGAAGGCAAATTGTTTCGGTGAAGAAGGTTAGGGAACGCGCGTGGAAGAAGAAGCGGCGGTATCTAGTCATACTTGCATGCATAATTTGGCTATAATTTTATGTTTTTAACTAGGGCAATTCATAGTGATTCGGCAAGACATTTTTTAGGTGATCGGGGGGCAGGGAGGGGTGTATATTTTGATCATGAATATACATCTAGATGTCTTTTTTGGAAATAACCTCAATCTATTTAATTTTCTCTATTTTAGCAGATCTATTAGTTCCTGCTCTTTTTCAGGTAACGAGCTTTGGTATTAATTTAATGTATTATTGTGGGGCCTACAGTTAAGCCTAATCTACATTGACCAGAGAAACAAAATACAGCTGCCTTTTTTGGATATAACCTACATTTTGAAGACTCCTACCAAAAAAAAAAAAAAAAAAAGCCATTTTTATCTTCCTTTAAAAAATAGCTTTGTGTTGGTCCATCTTACCTTCTTAATGCCTGATCACACCATCATCCTGATTTTCATGAAAGCCAGTGTTCTGATCTGTGACCCATCGTGTCTCCAGTCTGTATGTTATGGCAAGATAGGCTAGAAATTAGTGAATTTAACCGTCAGTTTTATTGACATTTTATTAGAGCATTGATATCAGCTGCCACCATTTGCAACACACAGCTGTGTTGAGTTGTTGAAAACATCATTAGCAACAGCATCCTTCTAAAGTATTGTAGTTTCTTTTGTCTAAGCACTTTTACATCTGTTAGGAGAAAAGTTCTTTCGTGGGCTTATAGAAGGTTTATAGAGTTTCCTTCTAACTCCTGTCTTGCTCATGACTGTCACCACTGTTGGCTTGCAATATGTTAGGGGCCTTATGCTTTATTCTACTGTCAAGCAATTTGACGATTATTGTGGCAACCATGCATGTATCTGGTAAGATGGGCATTCCTTTCTGGCATTCCTTTATAGCACAAGCTTTACCTGACAAATTATTTCAGCATGCAGCTGTATGCTTTTTCAGTGTTGCAAACATTATATTTTTTGGCCAGTTTTTTTTTCTAAAGCGTTCCATTAAAAAGTTGTGAGATGATTAACAAATATCCTCCCTAGCCTTTGAACTGAACTGACTCTTTCAAATTACAAGAATTTTACACTGATACTTTTTAGTAATCTTCTGCAACAAATGGGTCAAATTAACACAGGGTAGTACTTAGCTGATGCTTAAAAATAGGCACTATAAAGCATTTATGCTATCCATCTGACATTTGTTTTGATAAAAAAAAAAAATACAGCTGAATGACTTTGGAGAATCACGGAGCTACAGAAAATGGCTCATTGAAGTATTTGCTACAGTCCACCTCTTGTTACACCTCACTGTCCACAGGTGATAATTGCCTGTACTTTTTTTTTCCCTCTCACTCTCCATATCCTACAGGTGCTAATATTTTGCCTTCCCCATACTATCATCCTCCAGCTGGGAAACATAATTAAGCTAAATTCAGAGCAGCATATTCCCCATGTGTAACTAATTTAAAGGTCATAGGTTTTCTTTGAAAACCAAACAAAGGCTTGGGTGCTTGTTGGTACCCGTTAATAAGGTATTACATCCTCCTTTATAGCTCAGTTTACATATAAAATATTCTATACTTTCTGATACTAATATTTGTGCATCTTCACGGACTTCATCCAGATCAAGTGCTTTATCATTTCATATTTTATGTTTCTCTAGCATGTCTTTCATCTATCGGATATTGATTCATTCAGGTTGTCCTCAGTTTTTTCCTTTGGGTTACTTCTCTCAAACTGTCTGTAGACTTCCCCCTTCTTATTACAGAGTAGTAATTAAATTTGCTGTGGATTACAGTTTAACTGCCACTGTGTTTCATTTAGACTCATGTTCCCTCTCTGTATGTTTTATTTTCATCATATTCAGAATGTTGGCCTGATGTTTTTAAGTGGTACTTGTTTGTTTCTCCAGAGTGAAGTGTGGATATACAATATCCACAGCTGTAAAAGCCTGGAAGAGTTGCATTCATGCTTTAGAGGAGGAAAGTAAAGATGAACAGCTTCCAAACATTTCATAATTAGTAAACAATGCCATGGCCTGTTCTTGTCGCAGAAGTAGGACAAGACCAAATGAACTCTGCCTTTTTTAGAAAAGATCTGCACTCCAGGGCCCTGCATGTGGTTGTTCCATGGAACAGGCAGCCTGCCAGGCTCCGGAGCAAAAGAAGGTAAGTGGCATCCTAGGCATGGGAGGGAGTGAGATAAGGGACTGGAGATGTGGATCAAAGCTCTGAATTTTGCTCCTTGCAAGCTCTGTTGCTGCAGAGCAGAGTTGTTAGTCAGAGACCTGGGACAGCTAGTCAGAGGCCTAGGGCTACTAGGACTTGTTTATGTCTTAAAAATTAGGTGGTATGAATGTTGTCCTCAACTGTCATTCTTGGGATTTACCATGAGTGGAGTTAAATTTTAAGAACTACGGGGCAGTTGTAAGCAGTGCCTGCACAGCATGCCGTTCTTGTATCTGGTAGACAATTAAGATGGTAGTTCATATCTGTAGAGAAGGTCTGCAGAGCATCAAACAGCACAGGACTGGATTTAGCATTGCTGTGGGTCGCTTCTAGTCCTGTGTTTGTATGAGCTGAATTATCATCTTTAAATAAGTGGATGTGGGTGGAGAAAGAACATGGACAATGAAAATACCTTTTTTTCCATGTGTATATAGACATGAATAAATGGTAAGACAGTTTCTAGTCCATTCACCATGCTTCACCTGAAAACTAGTAAGCTAAACTTGCAGTAAAGAGTTTTGTCTGTACTTTTCTCAAACCTTTTACTTACCAATAAAGTTATGAATTTTCTTTTAGACACATAGTGACTTTCAAAGCATTGTTCTGTAATACTAATTTCTAGCGTTCTTTTTTTATTCACTCTTAAATCTCAGCTGTTCCTTTGAGCAAATAGAAGTGAATGACTACACCTTAAAACGGTAGAAAAAAGCTCGGGAGGAAAAGAACCTCGTGTCACAAGTTGAATAGAAATAAAGACCCCTGAGCGGCCGGGGGGCGGGACCCTGCCCGCGCGCGCTGCTCTGCGCATGCGTGATGGCTTCCGCCCGGCACTGAGATGGCGGCGGCCTGCAGCGTGTGCCTCGGAGGTGTGGGAGTTCTGTTCCGTACCGAGCAGGTGATGGCCCCAGGAGCCCCCCACTCACACCCCCATCCTACCCGGCTGCTCTCCCTGCGCCGAGGCAGCGGCCGTGGGGCTTGCCTCGCGAGTGGGGCTGTGCCTGGAGGTAGTGCGGCCTGCGAGGTTTCCCGCCGGTTGGAGCCGGCCCCCTCGTTCTCTCAGCTGCCGGGCCCCCAAATCTGCACGGCTCTCCCGGGTTTTGCATGCAGCTGTGCAAATTCCTCGTGCTCACGGGAGACGTGGCTCACGTTGGCTTGGTGGTTTTTTGTTTTGTTTTTTTTTTTTGTTTTTTTTTTTTTTTTGTTTGTTTGTTTTTTTGTTTTGTTTTTTTTAAGAAAGGATAACAAAAGAAAGCCTAGTTGTGATGGTACTGTGTTTCTTGCAGTCCCTGTCCATGTAACCTTCGTTTTCTTCAGCGTTAGGATACATCTGAAAATCCTGGAGGCAGTTTTGGGCCCTCTTGCGTAAGTAAGCCTTAAAGTGATAATGAAGGCAGTTATAAAAATGTGCATATTGATTCTGATAACTCTGTAGCGTTTTCTTTAGGGGAAAAATAGTCACGTTGCCTTGTGTAAAAGAAACTGAGCTTGTTAGCTCTTCTGTGAGTCTTTGCTTTATGAAGATACTGTTGTTAAAGTAGAAAAGTTTTTTTAACTGCAGATTTTGTGGTTGATTATGAAACTTATGAGTGGATGAACTTTCAGTGTGCAAAATTCTTTGGTCAGAGACATGCTGAAGTATGTATTTCAAAAACTAATTTTAAACAGAAGTGTAATTTGTTTCCAGCACCTGGCCTAATGTAAAAGTAATGCATGCCTGACTCTTCAATGGCAAAAACTTATTTTGAAGTTGATGGAATTGTCAGTTACATAAAGATGAGCATGTTTTTGAATGCCTAGGATTAGGGGGGAGGGGGGATGCCTTTGCTATTGCCAGTGAAAATGAATATGTTGTTTGTTCTATCAGTTTTGTGTCTAACCTTTTTGGCCTACAGTATACACAACTTTTTATTTTAAGAAGAGCGAGCATTTACATTCTTCAGAATGCCCAACTCCAACGCTAAGCTTCATTGCAACCGTAGAGGTGGTCAGGAAGCGGGCAGGCGGGAGCTGGTTTCCAGGTCTTTGCTGAGTGCTCAGCATTGCTTGGAGACCCAGGATTTTGGAACTGCATATGCTCACTATCTCCTGGTACTAAATCTAGCTCCTGAGTTAAAAACTAGTGTCAAAGTAAGTGCCCTTTGTATTGCTTGAAACAGTTTTATTTACTGTATTCCTCTTGAATCTTTGTGACACGTTTTGTGCTTGTGATTTGTTGTATGTAACTGATCTTCCTATTTAGTCTTCAAAAGAAAAACAGAAAATAGTAGTAATGGAGACAGCTAGTAACTTGCTTAATAAGCTCTGTATGCCTCTTGGAAGGGAACTCATACACTTGTAGTCTGTGTGTGTCAACTAAGTTTAATAAAAACAGGGTCTTGTTAGTATTGGCTTGTAGTAGTTCATTAATGTACACGCAGGCTCTTTGTATACACTGCTGGGTGATGATACTCTCTGTGGATATCTGGGAGCTTATTTCTGCTTCTTCAAGTGAGCCGACTAACTTGGGATGGTAGCAAGCTGCGTGGGGAGTTGGGGGTGTTCAGGTGCACGTCAAGATACCTCTAGATGTTTTCAGGACTCAGTTCCCCATTTTGGGTAACTACCAGCTTAGTGGTATATGTTTTATTTTTTAGGAAACGTTTCAGTTCACCCTCTTTAAGTGGGCAGAAGAGCTAGATTCTCTGGCACGGATTCAAGATCTGTTTAACTGTTATGAACAAGCACTTGAACTTTATCCGAATGATGAAGTGATATGTAATAGTATGGGAGAACATCTCTTCAGGTTTGTAGTAATGTATATTTAATTTTTGTAAGGTTCACATTTAGTATTGTACGTTAATAAGCAAGGCCCAATTCAGCAGAGCACATAAAATGCACTGAAATGAAGTAAATGCAAGCATACGCTTAATGCTGTATAGTGTGTACTGTTGAATTTCAAATCTGTTTGTCAGCTTAAAATAGAGTAGCCAATGCTAATGTTGATTGTCACACCCAAAGTAGAAAAAAAAAAAGTAAAAGCACTTTTACTAAAGTAAAAACTTAAAAGCACTGCCTTCTAATATTTTCTAACAATTTAAAGAATTGCTGAACAGAAGATACCAAACTTGTTCAGAGTCACTGTGTTAACTATTGTGGTGAACCAACAATTTTTGAAGTTCTTCCTTTTTTTTCCTGTTAGATCCCTGAGAACTACTGGCTTTGAATACTGCCTTTTAATTCTGGTCCTTCTTGAGGTCACATATAACAGACCTTTGAAGTGAAGAAGCTGGTTATGTATATTGTACTGTGTTAGGGCTGTTTGTAAATGGTTTATGCTTTGATTTATTAGTGTAAAGCGTTCTTTTCCTGCCTTCTTCCAACTGTGCAAAACAGGGTGCTTTGCTGTTGCTCAGGGTTCTAAGGTCTTCTGAAACTGGAATTTTAAGATTGAAATAATGTATTATGGCTCCAGGTAGTTTTAATTAGGTTTGCTTTTTGTTATTACTTTGCTTGTTTTAAGGAACAAGTCTCCTACCATTATATCAAAATGTACATATTTCTTACATTTCATAGACTGCCATTTTTTTCAGTGTTGTCTGATTTGAGGATATGCTATAGGTATCCTAAAAACTTGCTTTAAGTTCACAATTTAGTTTCAAAATTGCCACTTAACCCAAGCGCTGGCAACTCAAAATGTGGTTGTTTTACAGTATGTTCCAGTTAAATACAGTAAAGCGGTTTGGGGGTTTGTAGTATTATCTTGACTTGAAAATCTGTGAGGCTGAATTGCAGGGTTGCTACTGTCATATTATTGCAGCGAGTTCTTGTAAAACCTGTTCTAGTTTGGCAAAGGATGTAGGAGTGCATGAAGACTAGTGCACTTAATGGTATTTTTGGACTACCTTTGCATTTTGAGTTGTAAATCATTCTTTTCACGAGGTAATATCAGTGTTTCCAAAGATGATCTTTGTAACTAATGCAAAATATTTCCATTGTCTTGTAATTGATTTAAGACCTTTTTACAGACCCACAGGTATTTACAGATACTTGACAGCTGAATGCATGCTTTCTCTTTATTTGTCATTTTTATTATTAGAATGGGCTTTAGAGATGAAGCAGCTGGATATTTTCATAAAGCAGTGAAGCTTAACCCAGACTTTGCTGATGCAAAGGAGAATTTTTACCGTGTTGCGAACTGGCTCGTGGAACGCTGGCACTTCATCATGCTTAACGATACCAAGAGGAACCTTACTTACCTAAAAGCAATTGAGAATGCTGTCTGTTCAGGGTGCAAATCTGTCCTTGATATTGGAACAGGAACAGGAATTTTGAGGTGTGTCATAAGTGCATATTTAACATTAGCTTAATAGAAGTGTATTTGTTGTCTAACAAAATGTAGTTGCTAGTGGAAAAAAATAATTTACTTCCATGTATTGAGACAGAAGTCCTGAAAGCTTTGTTTCCTTTAAGTCAGTGAGTCTGGAGGTTAGTGTCTAGTAGGACTTTTTGAACCCTTTTTTTTATTATTCGTTGCAGATGTTTCTTGCGCCAGTAACTGCTGTATAAATTGAATTACTCATGTTGGTTTTGGAGTTGTAATGTTATGTGTCCTGTCTTTGACTGTTGAGTCTAGTATAGAGTGGATTTAGCATAGCTAAGGGAATATCCTTATGCTACCTGTATTTTTTTGTTTGCTTGTTTTGGTGGTAGCATATCAAGAGGATATTCATTAGTGTGACATTAGTGTTCACACAAGAGATACTAGTTCACTTAATGATGATTTTTAAACTTGAACTGTTTTCTTAGAAATGTGTAGCAGATGTGGAAATAGAATTTAAGAAAGCTCAGTATCTTGTCGTGCTTTACCTAAAATGATTTAAACTGGAAAGGAAAAGGCCTGATTCTTGTTTTTCAGTATGTTTGCAAAGAAGGCTGGAGCATCATTAGTCTATGCCTGTGAATTATCAAAAACCATGTATGAACTTGCCTGTGACGTTGTGGCAGCAAATAATATGGAAAGAGAGATCAAACTTCTACATTTGAAGTCACTTGATATAGAAATTCCAAGGCACATACCTGAAAGGTAATGTTGTTGTGCTCTGCTGTGATTTTACTTTTAATTTGCCCTTAATTTCAGGAAAATAGAAAATACCCTGTGACCTAAACAAGAATTAGCTTTGTCTCTGATATTACTCGTAATGTGAGAAAGTTCTCTGTATGTTTTATGTTTTGATAGAGCAGTGCAGGAATTATAACGTTCTTTAGATTGTACTAATTTCTATTACCGCAGAAATCAACAATGAAATAGATGCACAAAGAAACCAACAGATCCACAATGTCATAAATTAAGAAGTTGAATTCCTTGATGGTAGGAACTTTGGGGCATAAGCAATTATGTCGCAATAGTGGGAAAAGAAAAATTAGATTACTACATCATAAAAGGAAGTTTACCACACTTTTACACGTAACTACTTGTAGCTCGCTTCTGCAGCCCACGAATAGGATGGAGGCATGTAATAGGGCCTGCAAAGGAAGACTCTTTCTGGGACATACCACACCCCTGCAGCTCCACATCAACTTCTGCATTTGTCAGAGTTCAGAAATTGCGGATTGTCTGCTTCTTGTGATCAGGGAGTGAAACCTCCCCTCCCCTCAGTCCCCTAGGGAGGGTGCTGCTGAGTTTGGAGGCACAAAGTTCCTGGTTGGTTGCGTCTGGAAGGCTGGTGTTGGCTGGGCTGACTAGCTGTGAATGGCAGCACCCTGCCATGGGAGGGATCCATGGGGCACTGAGTGTGGCTTCAGATGTTGAAGCAAAATTCCGTGGAAGCGTGTTGCAATTTGTCCTGTGAGAATAGGTTTTTGTGCTTGCATTGAGCTATTTGTATATACACATCTACCCACCTGTAGGTATAGCAGAGATCCATGTGCTTTGAAAAATTAAGTAGCTTATTTTTCCACTCTTAAGTAATGTTTTCTAAGGCATAGGACAAATCAACAGCTTGGAATTGCTCTTGGCAAATTAGAATTTGATCAGCATTACAGCTATCAGTATATGTGATTTAGGCTTTTTTTTGCTACCCTGCTCTTTGCTCACTGTCCCATTCAGCAGGGGTTCTTCAGGAAGATCTGTAAATTTTTAGCAGGTAGAAATCTGAGGGGGTTTTTGTTTGTTTTGGTGTGTGCAAAGGACTGGTTTATCACTTAAGCTCACTGCTACCAGGGATGCAGATTAAAGGTGGGAAGGAAATAATCCATTTTACTTTTAATTACTGACATTTAATGAAGTGTCTGGTGATGGTACAGGCTCATAATCTGAAATGTTGAAGCTCCTGTGGTTTAGCATGCCAGTTAAGCCTTGTCAAATTGTGTCAGCTGAGCTACAGTAAGTGATCGTATCCTTTTAATGTATATGAGGAGTTCCTGGATGTCACCTATCAGGAATAAATTGATACTGTTCTGGAAATGTCTTGTCTTATGCAGTACGGTTTTGGGTTTAAATCCAAAGGCTTTAGGATTTTAGGGTCCATTAGTCTGCATAGTAATTTTATTATGCTTTGATTGTAGGTTTGGTTTTTTTAGTTCCTTTTTAACACACATGCATGGATGCATACTTTCGCACAAGATTCAGACAAAATACATTTTCTGCAGTATCATTGGCTGTGTGCCCAGGCTGAAACGTCTTCCTGTTTTGGCTAGATTCTTCCCACACTATTTTATTTATAAATGCTGAACAAGAAGCTTTATGGTAAACTCTTGCTCAATATTTATTCTCTTTTATCTGCATCTTGAATAACTTTTAACAATAATTCAAAACATATAATTTGTTGGAAGAATTAAATTGCCCATCTGTATTGGAACTTCAGAACACTGGTAAAAGTTTTGCTCTGATCTTGCGTTGGTATAGTGTCCTTTTGTTTTGCTTTAAAAGAGTGATTGTTAACGGCAATGTGTGCTATACATTGTATTTCATGGTCTTCTCTTTCTTATGTAGAGTTTCCTTGGTTGTCACAGAGACAGTTGATGCTGGTTTATTTGGAGAAGGAATTGTGGAGAGCTTGATACATGCTTGGGAACATCTACTTTTGCAACCAAAGGTAGGTGATGTGGGTACGTATGTATAAATAGGATTCCTGTTCGGTTTGATATATATATATGTGTGTGCACATGCACACATTCATAGACATATGTGAATGAGGAAGAACTGTCTTTAAATATTTCATACCTATTAATATTTTAAAAATTAGTCATCTGGGTTTGTTCTAAGAATCTGTTTCTGGTGAAAGGCAATGAGGCAGTTGTGTGTGTCGTACTTCTGTGAGCTCATGTTCCAAGTTAGACAGGTACTTGCAACGCATGTTTCCCTTATGTGACCTTTCATCATACGGAGAGGGTTCACTGTTGATCACTGTTCATTCTTTTCTTTTTCCTTTTTTCCCCCTTCCTCTTTGTAAGTAACACCAGAGGGGGTTCTGTGTGTGTTTTAAAGGTGCTAATTTCCTGCATGTTTGATAACAACCTGGTTGTTTTGAGATACCAGCTAGTAGCAGAAAATCATGTCAGTTCAATCAGAAAATGCTGAATTATGGTAGAACTATTTCTCATCATAACACTAGGGAACAACAGTCAGTTATAATTTGGTATATATGCCATATGCTTGTGCTCTTAATTTACTTTTGCCAACTTTGAACATTTTTGGAAGACTAAACAATTCTACTGGGTCTTGGACTTTATACATTTTGCATTTTAGCTAGCATACATTAAGCAGAGTGATACGACAAGGAGTCTTACATGGGTTAACCTCTGTTAGGTCTTAAGAAATAGAAGGACTTTTTTATTTTGATGTTGCCTTGATTCCCACTAATTTTTTAAAAAATCTTACCTGCTTGAGAGCTTTAGTATTGTATTGAAATGAAACTGATGACCTCTAGTGTTAAGTATAGGAATGATGCATAAAGGAAAGGTCCTCAAGTGTTTCAACATATTTTAATAGAATATAAATTAAAAAACACTTCTAGAATTACACATAGGAAATAATAGACTGAAAAGTAAAGCTGATGCATGGATATATTGAAACACAGTATTTAAGAAACTCCTTTAATGGTCAACTGGAATGACAAGACCAGAAGCTTTACTAGTCACTAAGAACTTACTGATGTTTTGACTGTGAGCTTGAATGGTTCATTAACATGTAACCTAGGCTTTGCAGTAAAGATAGAAATAGGTCACTGTCTCAATGCATGTTATTCATATTTTCACAGCCTAAAAACCAAGATGTTAGTACTGGAGACTATGGCAGAGTTATTCCTGCAAGTGCTACAATATATGGGATGGCAGTGGAATGCAAAGAAATACGTAGACATCACAGGTATGTTTAAACTCTAGCACAGTTTGAATCCGTATTTGTTATTTGAGAAGAGACCAGTAGTTCTTACTGAGTATTTTTCATTTACTGTTATCTTTACTTTTTCTTGAATGGCTAATTATCTGTTTCGCTAAACAGATCTCTGTTGTCACTCTCCCCACCCCTTTTCCAGGCTCCTCCCACCCTACCTTGTTCACACTTTCTGGACCACTTCTTCAGAAACTCTTGATTTTCAGTTATGCTGAAATACATCCCTTCAACACATATTAAAGAAATTTAATTCCTTAAGAGTAAAACTACTTCTCAGTTTCTGTACTGGAGATTCTTGGATTAACACTTGGCCTTTGTCCTCATTTTGCCCTCTTTATAATCTGCTCCATACTTCTGTGCTGGATGTAACCCTTTCAGAAGATGAGGACAGGGTTGTGTAAAGCCCAAGTGTTAATAAACCCACCTAGAATTATGTTTCTGAATATGTGCCTTGCCTGATTCTGAAAAGCACACAGTGGGATTTCTTTGCTGAGACCAGTTCTCACTTGTATCAATTACTTCCATTTTTATTCTCATCTTCTAGAACAGTATCACTGTATGGAGAGGGTTTCAATCTGATAGGTTTGGACTTGATGTATTTTGTTTAGGATTAGTTTTGTTGCAGGTCAAAGAAAACACTTAATTTTTACAGGCGCTTCAGCGTTACGGATGAAAAATAGCCAGGCTGCATCAGTAATTTTTCTAATGCGTTAGACCAGGACAATGGTCAGAAAGAGACAGAAGTTCCCATGGTAGATGGTCAAAGAAAAACTTCCGTTTACGCAAAGTTAATTATTCATCAGTTAGAAGTTAGGGTTTTACCTTGAAACATGGCATTGACTGTTCCTTACAGAATTTAAACAGGATGAAAGTTAATGTACTGTATTTTGGATTGTTGAATTAACAATCCATTTTAATAGTATAGCTTAAGGTCAGATGGCTAGCAGGACTGAAATGATTGCCACAAAATAATTATATCCTGTAGGAAGAAAAAATGTCCCTTTAAATGTCCTGCCTTTATAGTTTGAGATGCCTTTTTGTTTCAGTGAAGTCTACTTTAACAAGTGCTATTAAGCTTTGTGTAAAACACTTTCCTATTCTCAGATTTAAACTATCCAGACCTCTGTGAATTATTCTGATGTGCATGTCTACACGTTTCCTTAAGTGTTCTGATGATCTACCAAAACTTTGGGGTTTGAATGTTTTAGGGTTTTTTTTGTTTGTTTGTTTGTTGTTGTTTTTTTCTGAACAAGATGCCTGATGAAATAGCAGGGTGAAAGTATCTCTTTCTCATGCTTTTTATATCACCTATCACAGTTTCTGTCTTGTACAATCAATGCAACTTTTCTTTGCGCTTTTCATCATGATTTTAATTTTCTTGAGTGGTTATAAGTAGATGTAGAGCCCAGAAATCTATGAATACCTGAATGCTTTATTGGTCTGAGGTACATTTAAAAGTGTGTTTAATCTTATCATCAGACACTGATTCATCTTGCTGAGGGAGGGAATCCCTTTTCACTCCAATTGTTGATAATCTTGCATATCACAGTCATCTATCTGTATCTGATCTGATATTCTGCTTTGTATTCTGTCCCTTTGTTTTACCAATTTTAAGTTATGCTGCATTTCTTTCACTCTGTTTTTAGGGTTTTTTCCTAGGATATAGTAAAATTCTAGATAAACTGGTTTTCTTGTAATTCTATTTTTGATGCACTTAAGCCAACTGTACAAAAAGTTTTGTGCCGGTTTACCCCTTAATGTACCTTCATGTTTCTTTACTATAGCTGGTGCTGCTTGTACCCATTGCTTGTGTTCCCTAGAATGACTATAGGGCCTAACTCTGCTGTGGTGTTACGGAATTTAATTTTTTTGTTTATGGTTAGCTTTAATTTTCTCCTGAAGTCATTGCTCTCTCTTTGAAGCAGTTGTTTCGCATATGTGTGAAATGTGCTTACTTACAGAAGAACAAACGAACTGACAAACTTGTGTGAAGACTTGAGTTCTATTAAGGATGGATGTAGAGGTCACAAAACTTTTTAAGATACCAGAGTATACTACATACTGTTTTTCAAGGTTGAACTAGGTATCTTTCAAGTGTCATATGTAACAGTAAAACAGGAGAACATAGGTCTGCTACATTTAGTCATTTTGAATAAAATGTGCCAGAATATGAGTTAATTTACTAATTAAGTCACTATAAGAATTACATGTTTAGTTTTTAGTCAGTTAGGCCCCAGAATGAGAGGCAATAAAGTGACTCTACTTCTGTACTTATATATTGAAGCCATGAGGGTGCATAATAATATAATAATCTTCGGACCTCTTCCATAATACAGGCATTGTGCAGCAGCTGTTTTGTTTTAGTTGTAGTATTTCTTTTAAAATAATATATGGATTCAGTTTCAAGCAAAGAATACATTTTCATCCTTGTTGTTAAAATATCTAAGTTACTTCACTGAGCAGGTGAGAAGATTGTAGTCATTAGTAATGTTGCTATATTTTTTGGTATTTATTGTGAAGTACTTACTACTTTGTACTTTCTATGTGTCACATACTTTTACTGCTAGGGAATCTGCTCCAAAGATGGAGTCCGATTCATTTTTATATTTTAACTATGTATAATGGTCAAAATATATTTGCAAAAGAATCCAGGGTATGACAAGAGGCAACCTACTCAATTCTGCGATTGGGAACTTCAAGATGACGACTGTATCTGAGAATATAATCAGACAGCCTGTCTAGTCAAACTTAGTTGTAGGGAGATCTTTTGCAGGGAGGGGAGGTTCTTGAGGAAGTGATTCAGAATTAAAAATAGTTCTAGAAATAGAAATTTAACTAGTCATTTGAAGTTCTGAGTGCTAGACCTCACTATAAGAACGTTAGTGTACTTGCTTACTCTGCACAGATTGTGCCTGATAAATACATAGAGGTACTGCAAATGGAAAGTTTTATATCAAAGAGACTCCAAAAATGCATTTACCTATTTCATATCTATCTGTCTTTGTTCTGACTGTTCTGTTCACCTGAAAGGAACACCTTCATTATCTGTCTAATGCAGCAGCAGAAGAAAAGCTTTATTTGTTCTTACTACCATAGGGCATATTCTTTCTGATTCTCTGTCAGGACTCGATGAGTTGTACTTAAGGGGGCAAAAGTCTGTGGCTTTTGACGAAGGTTTTCTTGGGCTTTTTATCAGTTTCTAGTGACAGCATTCAGTTCTGATTCTTGAAAGTGATGCGCATTTTCTGTGCTTTAGAGCTGCTCTGAACATGAAACAAACTTCACAGATTTGTTATTTCTTAGTTTTTCTATTCTTATACTATGTGCATTTAAAAGTATTTAGCTAGCCTGGGAAGAATTTCCTTTGGGTTTTTTGGTCAAATTTTATGAATATTATCAAGAAGTTTCACTTCTTCCCTTTCTTCCTTTACTCCCAGAGTGGAAATGCAGGAAGTTGCTGGTGTGTGCTTGCCAAATTCAGTACAGTTCTTTAGTCCAACATACGCTTCTGCTGGTTCAGAGGAAACTGTTGAACCTTACACCACAGAGAAGCTCAGTCGTATTCCTGGAGGTTATATACCTCTGACAGAACCCTGTCAAGTAATGGCAGTAGATTTCAACAATCTGCAGGTAATTATTTTTTTTACGTCCTTTAGAAGTAATCTGTTTACAAATGAGAGTCCCATAGCTTCTCTGCTTTCCGGGTTCAATTTCAGAACAGTTCACAAACGCAAAGTGGGCAGGGCTGCACTGAAATCCTCAGCTGGTTTTGATACTTGTCTGGTTGTGTGGTGGTGTGATTCATCAGATGACGGTCTGAGTTTTTGAAGGTGGAGTTCTTTGTTTGGCATAGTTCAGGGAACTAAACTGGCTTACCACAGGAGGAAACAACTGCCAGATTGATGGCAGTAACAGGGATGAAGAATAAAATAGACCCATCTTAAATGATTTCTGTAGTTGTGGAGCTGACTTAGTTTATTCCTATGAAGTTAGGGTCTTCAAGAAACTCTTGGAGACAAAAGAGAAAGGATGTGTTTTACATCTGGCATAAGAACGTCTGTAAGTGTTGATGGGTAAGCATAAAAGAGGGGAGATGAAGACATTATCGTATGCGATCCAACCAGTTTGATTCCACCCTTCAGCTCCTTTGGTATCTTACGCTATTTCTGTAATATGGCATTCTAAAGTATGGTAGCATTATTTTGTGTATTCTGCACAAAATACATTGTATGCATATATTAAATAGGCCTGAACTGTAAGGCAAGGACCTCAGCCACTCGCAGCTCAGCATGCTAAAAAGATGATACATCTGATCTCTGGTATATTTCTTGCTCGTTGACCCGTGGTGAGGAGTTAGCATTGAATCAGAGCTTAAAATAGGTTCTGTTATATAAATGAAATTATTCTTGGCTACTGCTTAGCCAGGAATTGCAGTGTTTCTGAATCGATAGCTTTTCCTAGTTGGCTTGTATGACATCCTGAGATTAAAAATGAAATAAGACAAGGCTCTTCAGTATACTACTGGGAGCAATCTCTCTGTGACCTAATGTTTCTTCTGCTTCTAGCATCAATAAGAAACTACTACTCTCATCTGAGAGATGCCTACTCTTAAGCATCTGCCTGCTGGCAGACATGTAAAGATAATTTTAAAGAGTGAAGAACAGCGTTCCTCTTTAAACCATGTTTCAGAACTGCTCCTTTGAAGTTTCAGTTAGACTAATGGATTGTTCCTGTCATGAAACGGAAAGATATATGTAAAGGAAAGAGATCTAATTTATTTATTTGGAGACACTGGTTCCTGTTTGTTTTAACTTTGTTACTGGACAGATAAGGCAGTTCCAAACACTGGTAGGTTACTTTCCACCTTGGGTTTTTTGTTTGGTGTTTTTGTTTTGTTTTGTTTTATCATGGCCATGCCTGGACACTTAATCTCTGCAACTAAAAAGCGAAAAACTGTGTTCCTATAGGAATAAAACCCCCCCCACTATACTTTCAAAAGGTAGCAAATTACCTACTAAAGATTGAAATTCAGGTAAGAAATCACTTGGTACTAACAAGGTAATTTCAAAGACCCATTTTCTAAACTTGTATTTCAAAAAATGAGGGATGCTGCTTTTATTCTGCTTGTACTAACTATCCAGACCTAAACCGACAGAACTGAGAAAAAGACTTAAAATGCAGTACAATACTGTTTCTCCAACTGAGTTGTAGGAGGCTTCAAAGACGTCAGTACAGATCAGAGAAATAATGGTAATAAGTCAAAATTAAAAAAACAAACAAACAAAAAAAAAACAGCTGAGTTATGCTGATTTACTTTACTATTAGTAGCAGCAGCAGCTTAGTTCCTCCCAGGCAGGGGAAGGAGATGTGGGTGTAACTACAGGCTTCAGACACTTGCACCTAGCCAGGTTACACCTGTGTGCATGTTTGCTGGCAGCAGATCAGTGCCACTGGGAGTGGAAGCAAGTGTTTACATCAGCAGCCAGTAATTAAAGCTCAGTCTCACTTTCAGGCCCTGAAGGAACTGTGCTCTTGCCAACAATTACAGATATTGACTCTTTCTAACTTTTATGAGAAGTTACTATCTGAAATATTGGAGAAATTCTGGATCAAGACATAAGAAACTTGGTAACTGCATTGTTTCTGTAGTTTTTCCTTCTATTTGTAGCCCCATTTTGTTTTTTACATGCAAGTTCTTTTTCTCATTCACAGGATATATGTGGCATAGCATCATTTTGGGGTTTTTACTGCCTATTCCTGCATCATTGCTTTTATTTTCTTTGCTGTCTCTTCAACTACACTAGATGATAAATTGCCATCCTGCTGGGCTAGAGGTGCTTGAGTCTCTAATTGTCATAAATAATAGGAAAAGGTTTATGCAGTGGACAAATGTGAGGAATAAATAGGGGATAAGCAGCGTGGCAGAGAGCAGGAAAAGCTGAAATAACTGCCTTGAAGTGGGTTTTTAAGTGTTCTGTGCCACAAGGTAGGGATGTAACACTACAGTTACTAGAACCAGTGGATGAGAACCTTGGGCCTTCTGCTTTTGAGGAATAATCAGGAAGAATATTTTTAACATTGAATGCGGTTCTAAACAGCTATGACTACCCAGAAACCAAGGAACAGATACATGCTTGTGCTCTTGCTGTCTTGCTTCAAGGGGCTTATGGCCAGCAAAGCTTTAACTTATTACTCTCTTCCTCTCCAGTTGAAGATGTACAGAAGAAATGGCTAGCAGGAAAGCACTTTTATTGAAGAGCAGTGAGATCTTATGATGAGCTTCATTAGTGTCCAATAATATTAAGAAATACATTGTTCAGCTACCTCGCAACTGTGGGAAGAGAGGTTGACCAGCTCTTGGAGAACACAGTATGAGAATAAAGAAGGAAAAATAAAGAATGGAGCATGGGAGAGCTACTCGTGTTCTTAGAGTAGAACTTCTCTTTTGACCTCTGTATTTTTAGATTAAAACTTAGAGAGGACAGATGCTGACATAAACAGATCAGGAAACCGATAAATGTTTAGGAAAGGCTATTATTAAGCAGACTGGTTATGACTAAGAATCTTTAGTCACTTGTGCTTGACCTCCTGATAATCAGTTTATGCCAGAACTAAGACATTAGAGCTGGGCCTTATGATTGTGAATGTTGGTAGCAGAAGGCTATTACTGAGGAAAATAAATTTTACATGGAGGAAGAGTTAATTCCTGCTATATATTCAAAACTTCTTAGGAGTATTGGAGAATTTATAACCTGATCCCTTTAGGAAAGATCTTAGTTGTTCCCAGCAGTGAAACTGTGTGTGCCTGAGCACTTATACAAAGCCTATCACCCAGGTAACAGAGAAAATATCCTCAAAGATATTTGATTTAGTGTTTTTGTAATGATTTTGCTGTACTTCTGTTTGAGCTAATTCAGTGCTTACATAGAGTATTTCTAGAACTGATTTAACACAGGTTTTAAGCGAAGCATGTGCCTAAACATTGGCTTGAATCCAGCCCAAAAGGCTGGCTCTGTTCTTACTACTTCTCATAAGGCAAGCTTTGCCAGTCTGAAGTCTTCCTTGCAGTTTATAGTGTTTTTTAAATATGTATGTTCTTAGATGTAGCCATGTTTGTTTTAATGGCTGATGGATGCAGGTTGATCGTGTGGATAATTGCACTTGAATCTGGGAAGACAAGTTGCTATGTTAGTGAGTACTGATGATAATTGGTGTTGTGGTGGCTTGTTAACTTCTGGTTTCTCTTGGGTGCCCTCATGGATTGGTGTAGAAATTTGGGTGACCTACTGTAACAAAAAACATTTTTTATTTATGGAAAGAAACTTTCACGCTTTTTCTCTCTTTCCACTTTGGTCAGGAACTCAAAAGCCTTGCAGCGAGAAAGCCCTGGAAGCTCAGCCTGCCAGTCACTGAAGGAGGAACGCTAGATGCTATTGTGGTGTGGTTTGTACTACAGCTTGATGATGAGCATGCTCTATCTACAAGTCCCAGGGAGGAAACTTGCTGGGAACAGGCAGTCTATCCTGTGCAGGGCCTCCTTGGTAGGTCCTGTGGATTTTCTTGTTTGCGGTACATTAACTTGGTTTTGGTTTGGTTTTGAGCTAGTTGGGTTATCTCAGAGATTAAGAAGTGGCAGCAGATTAGGTATAGAAGTTCAACAGCAAGTAGCTGTGAGGTGGTTTCTGATGCTGTTTCTGGACTGTAGTGCACGGTCCCTGCATCAGGGCTTGTTCATGGGACTCTGCTATGAAGCAGGTAGGGGGGGACCTGCTTAAGATCTGGGAGAATGTTTTCCATTAAGTTGGGTTTTTTTTTTCTATACTGAAATGCATTGTGGAGCAGCTCCAAAAACTGGGATTACTGTTTGGCTCTACTTAGTCAAGATGTGACTTGTGAAAGGAAGGTGGGGAAGTGAGGTAAGAATTGCTAGCTGCTACTGACAGAAAAACAAAACTAAACACAGATGATCTTTGAGGTCCCTTTGAACCCAAATTCTATGACTCTTGCCTCTCCCTCACCCCCATTTTGGACTCATGTTGAATACTGTTCCACACACAGTGACAGTGTCATTTCCAGCAGCCTCTACTCTGCATTTGCTCATTTTCCATTCTCCCGTTTCACAGAATCTTACAATGCCTTGAGTTGAAGGGACCCATAAGGATCATTGAGTCCTGTTGAACTCCCTGTTCCTTGCAGGACTATGTAAAACGAAGTCACATAACTAAGAGTGTTGTGCAGATGCTCCTTGAACTCTGACAGGCTTGGTGCTGTAACCACTTCCCTGGGGAGCCTGGTCCAGTGAATAACCACCCTCTCCGTGAAGAACCTTTTCCTAATGTCTAGTCTTAACTTCCCCTCACGCAGCTTCTTTCCGTTTTCTCATGTCCTGAGAGAGGAGATCAGCACCTCCTGCTCTGTCAACGCCCTTGAGGAAGTTGAAGACTACACTGAGGTCACACCCCTCAGCCTTCTCTTCTCCAATCTGAACAAACCAAGTGACCTCAGCTGTTCCTTATAAGTCTTATCCTTGAGGCCTTTTACCTCTTGGTCACCCTCTTCTGGACACACTCTAGTGATCTGATGTCCTTGTATTGAGGTGCCCAAAACTGCACACAGCAGTTGAAGTGGGGCTGCACCGGTGCAGTGTAGAGTGGGACAGTCACCTCCCTCGACCAGCTAGCCATGCTGTGCCTGATGCGCCCCAGGCCACAGTTGGCCTTTTTGGCTGTCAGGACACGCTGTTGGCTCATACTCAATTTGCCATCCACCCAAACCCCAGCTCTCTTTCTGCAGGGCTGCTCTCCAGCCTCTCATCCCCCTGAATTGTCCATGGGATGGGGTAATCCTGGTTACAGGTGGAGAATCAGGCACTTGCTCTTGTTAAATTTCATATGGTTGGTAATTGCCCAGCTTTCTGTCTATCCAGATCTCTCTACCTTCATGGTAGTTAACAGCTCCTCCTAATTTAGTATCGATAGACAGTAGGGTCATCTGTGCCATAGACTGGTTCAGCTGAAAGCGTAGTGGAGGGAGAGAGACTATTCTATTCATTGAAAGGAATGTTTGTCAAATTAGCATTTTTGTTTTGAAATTCTGGTGTGTATCAGTGGATTTACTTTCTTAGAACATACACAGAAAGTATCCAAAGACCATCTTGAGCTGTATACCATAAATGTTCTAGTAAAATTTGTTTTGAATAAATTACCCTTTCTAAACTGTAGCTATTGTTTTCCATGTAACTACAAATTTACCTTTGTCTACAGGATGTATTAAAATGTAAATTTTTAATATTTAGCATTTTAAAGCAAAAGCAGTTTCTTTACCGGTATGTTTTTGTTCTGCTCTGCTGTTGACAGAACACTTAAAGTAATACCTGATTCTCAAAATACACTTTTCTATGATAAATAATGGATCTTGACTAGTGTGAGACAGTTTAAGGCAAATGTAAATGCACAATCTCAGATTTGAGTTTGTGGGCTATAGACTGGAACAATTAATTCATACACACTAGTAACAACTAATGAAGAAATGAGATAATGCCTTTTTTTTTTTTTCCCCACTGTATGGCTGCTTCACTCACATTTGATGTAAACTAACTGGCATGACTTTTTTTTTTTTTGCTGTTTTGCCAAGATTATTCTGTGAAGACTGGAGATACTGTGATGCTGGAAGTTTGCTGCCAAGACTGCTACTTGAAGATCCAGAAGATTTCTTCTTTGACTTCAGAGTGTGGGATGGACTTCAGTGACAGAGACGACACACTGAGTTTGGGCAATGAGGCTGAATTATGTAATGCTCTGGCTGGACTTCAGACAACTAGCAAACAGGATGGCAACGGTCAAGTATGTGTGTTAGAATCCACAGAAATAGCCCTGCTGAACAACGTGCTGTACCACGAATGCTTTAAAGCTGCGATGGCCGAAGTGCTGTCGTCATTAAATCCAAGTAAGGACTTGCAGTCCATGGATGTTGACGGACATGGCAGTGGGTTGAACCTCCAGGAGAGTCAAAACAAGAGCTCTCTAGATGTGGCTCCAGATCCTTTGTACATTTTAGATGTATCTGAAGGCTTCTCCATCCTGCCAATTATAGCTGGCAAACTTGGACCAGTTAGAGCCTACAGTTCTGTTGAGAAAGAACAGCATCAGGCAGCACTTAATGTAATTTCAGAAGCTAACCATTTCCCTAGGGAAACATTAGAGTTTTGGCTCAGCCACTTAGAAGATGAAAGTGTGGTGCTACAGAGACCCAAATCAGACAAATTGTGGAGTATTATTATCTTGGATGTTATAGAGACGTCTGGTTTAATCCAGCAGGAGGTGATGGAAAAGGCTGCAATATCCAGGTACAGTATAAATGGGCAAAAGTATTCCTAGGAATCCGTAATTGCTTGAAAACGTTTGAAAATATTCCATCTAAGTATAAAATTATTGTCATGTTGGTTCTGTAGAGCAAGAAGAGCTTGTTTTCTGAACAGATTGAACCTCCCAGAGTGTTTCTGGTGTGATCATTGTATACAGGTATCTTTTTAAAAGAGTGTCAAGATGTCACTTTCATAGACTTTTTTCATTCTTAGTATTGCATATAAAATAGAAAAAATCTTATTGCTTGGTCTGTCAGAAGTTCCCAGGATAGCCAACATCTTTCTAATAACTGAGGTAGCTTTTAGTGGAAGGCTAGAAAAGCCACGATTCATGTACATGTCAGACTGTTGTTGGAACAAACTGATACCACTAAAAGACAAACCTGGTGTTAGAACAGCCAGGGAGGCACCAACAAAGGTAGCCATTACCCGAGGCAAGAGTAGGGGGAAGGAATGTAGAGCTAGAGAAATACAATAATGGAAATAGGTAGCAAAAAAGTAAGTGTGAAACAAGTTTATCCCCTCTTATGGTGCTAGGGGATCTTCTCTGTTAATCTTCCTGCTTAGTGATGGCCGATTATTCCAGATGATTTATGTGCATTACCTTTTCTAAGCTTTGAATAAATCTTTGGATGACTTGATTTTCTTTTTTTTTTTTTTTTTGCTGTAAGAACAAATGGGAGATTACTCTGACTTTTGCCATACACAAACTCAAACCTGTTGGTATGAAAATACATCCAATAGCGTGCTGTTTAGCCACCCAATTGCTATGAAAAGAGGCCTGTGATAGGAAAAGGAAACTTGAAACAATCTGTATTGAATTGGAGGTGTTTGATACCGTGCTGAATGAAAGCTGCTATGGTTTTAGTACTTTCAGCAGTGTGATATTCTGTAGCAAGAGACCAAGCAAGCCTTGGGTGTTTTTTTTCAAGAAAAATGCTGTCTCCTGGGTTGCTGTCAACTTCAGTTTAGCACTTAAAGAAGGGTGATTTAAATTCCCACCAGATTTTGTTTCCCTATGGGGACAGTGCCTCCTTAACCAGGTGCCCCACAACAGCCTGTATGTCCTGACTTCTACTTTCATTAAGCATTTCTGCCAGTCCTTCAGAATTAGATGATGGTGCTATGAGTAAATCCCACTCTCTTCATCTTGAAATATCACACTTTCCAGTACTGACACTGAGAGAAGATTAGTTCCATAGTTTTAGTATTATGTGACAAGTTTTCCTTTTTTGTATGATATAGCTGTCCGGTCAAATGGGATTAAACTCAAAGGCTTATGAACACTTGACTTCAGAGGAAGAACTGCTGTGACTTCCTTCAATATAGTTAATGTTCTTTCGTTGCTGTTAGATTTTATGCTTTAGAGATGAAATCTCTCTCATTTTACAGATGCTTACTTCACAGTGGAGGGAAGATTTTCCCACAGTATGTGTTGGTATATGGGATGCTTGTAGAATCAGAATCTCTGTTACTGGAGAGTGCTGTACAAGGAACAGAACCAACTCTTGGCTTTAATATAGCTCCTTTTATCAACCAGTTCAAGGTATGAAGTTGGGTGTCTTCCAGGAAGAGTTCTAAAGCCTGCAGCTGTCTAGTTTGTGTGTAAACAGCAAGAAAACTGAAGAGCTGAAACTTTTTCATGCTGTTAAAGTTATCAAGAGAGGTTTATGTGACTAGAAGGGAAACTTGAGATAAACTAAAGTGGGTAATGTGTTTGAGAACTGGTGTGAGAGAAGTTTTGTCTAAGTAATGAAAGATGCAGTGTTACTGAACACAAGAGTGACTGCTGTTACGATCTCCATCATCACCGTGCATCATCAGTCGCATTTCAGAAGGGATTAGAAGGGTGTATTTTGAATTCTGGCTGTGTCTTATAGGAATTACTGTAATGCCTGTAAAACTTTGCATTATGATTAAGTCTTTTAACTTTTCACTTCTTAATGGCTGTAGATGCTTCAAGTTTGTACTGGTCTGTACTCTTAGGTACCTGTGCGTGTGTATTTGGATCTCTCTACGTTACCTTGTGTACCCTTGAGCAAGCCAGCAGAGCTTTTAAGGCTAGATCTCATGAACCCTCTGTCAAACAGCTCCTGCAGAGAAGTGAAGGTGAGTCGTGTATATGTGAAGTTAGAAGTGTGCTTAATTGCTGTTCTGCAGAGCTGCTCATTGATTGCTCACCTTGACTGAAAATTCCAATACAGAATTTACTTGTCTGCAGGTATCTCTAAAATGGCTTGAACTACTTTATTTTTTTTCTTATTTGAAAAGGGTGTAACTGATACTAAACTAGTATTTTGAATATTTTTAGGTACAAATTTGTAAGTCTGGCCAAGTCACTGCAATTCCCTTCTGGTATCACATACATCTAGATGAAGACCATAGCTTGAATACATCCGATGAGTCCTCGCACTGGAAACAAGCTGCGGTTGTTCTCGATGAGCCCATTCAAGTTCAGGTTGGAGATGAACTTGTGCTTGATGTTCAACACCACAAAAGCAATATTAGCATTACAGTTAAACGGTGAAGAATGTCATGTATAAACTGATCTGTGGTTAATTACCTGTGCATAAATGGATTGTTCATAACATCACTGATAATTTATATAAAAGTCTAAACTGTCTTTACCAATCAAAAAGGCTATGTTGTTGCTTTAATACTAGATACTTAACTTCCACTGATGGACTAAAATTTGCACTGTAAAGGGTATCTTACCACCAGTAAGAGGAGGTATTGTCTTCACTGCAGCAAAAACCCCATTGCTAGCTCTTGCTGTAACTACAGCAGTGGGACAGGCTTCTCTTGCTACCTTACCTGTAGGAAGGAAAAAAGCATCCAGCTGCCTGTACCAAAAATAAACAGCTGTGGCTGTTTGGGATCCAGTCCTTCTTTTACATACTGCAATTCCACTTCTTGATTGCCAGAGCATCCTACTTAAGTGTGTGGTGATGTTAGCCTTGTAGTAGGGACTGTAACAGCATTCCCACTGCAGTATCAGAAGCTAGTGTTGCATGTAGACAGGTACAAAAAGCTATAAAGGAGTGCTGTTAAATAAGAAGTTACTTAGTGAAAGGTAAAGCTAATAAACTTTTTGGAATCCCTCAGAATAATTTCTGGGACTATAATGGGCCTGGACTCTTGACTATGTAAAAGTTGTATAAAATATTACATCAGTCACCACCGTGTTCCTCCGTTCTTTCTACAGCATTACATTTTTGTTCCCTGTATTATACCCATTCCTCCTAGTAAATTTGTATCCAAAAGGAAAACTAACAAAAGTTTCTGATTCAGCATGGATTCCACCTCTGTGGAGATAGGAGGAAGACTTACCAAGATGCTTCTGTAACTGAGTTTCTGCATACTGTGCTGTCTATTCAGTGTAGAAGCACTTCTGTGATCTTTCCTTAAAAGGAGCCTGTATAAAGAGCCATCCACAAATAATTTTTATAGAATCTCACTGCGTGCAAGATCTAAATGGACTTTCATTAAGTAAGATGTTTGAGAGGTTCTTTCAGTTTAACCTCGGGCCAGTTGAAGCTGGGGTTGTCCCAGCAAGCAGCTGAACTTATACCTGACAAAGGGCTGTTAATAAAGCTCCTTCTAAAAGGGTGGAGTAAAGGTCTCCAGTTATTTTTTTTTTAAAAAACAGAGGTAGTGGCTAAGTCAAGTTTTCTGAAGATAAAGTAACTTGATATCATGCTTTATCTAAGCACTATAATGTACAGCAAAATTTAAGTGAATTAGAATAGGGCAGAGGTGTTTCATACTACCTAGCAGAACAGTGGTTTTTAAACAATTTGCCAAAACCCCAAACAAAACCATGATCCATAAAGTTGAAGTTACTGACATAACTAGGCTTAATAGGTACAGGATATTTTCACTAAAGTGCTGTTTTAGAAGTGTTTAGACTTCTCCTAGTGAAAGACCTCTGATAAAAGCAAAAAAAGAGTTAGGCATATTTATTAAGCTTCTTAGCAATTAATAAGACAGCAAAATGAGTTAAAGAAAAATGAAGGACAATGAGACAAAGTAAAGGGCTGAAAATTACCATTACTAAGTTTAAGTATTGTGTTAATTAAAGCAAGAGTAATCTTTAAGAGTTTGGATTAAAAGCTAGGAGAAGATTAGGCATAAAACAATGGAGAAACCAATATGGTTAATATAAAAATGAAGGACTACTTACAAATAAACTTTATAGGTCATGCTGTGGAATACCATTCTAGTTTTTGAAACAGGGTAGGTATCATTGAAATATTTCTATTATTTTGGGAGTTCAGTAGCAATCTTCCATAGAAAAATACAATCCTATAAGCTATTGCAATGAAGAAGTAATTTATATCCAAGAAAATAAAGCAGGAATAGTGTATACAGAGTAGCTTTCAAGAAATGCTGCAAAAGAAGCAACCCAGACACTTCACCAGCTGTTTTCCTATCAAAGTCCCCTCTCTGTACCTACGTTTACACCAAACAGATGTAACTTCAAGTATGAAGAGACTTCTTTGCTGTGATGTTTCTGAAAAGCTAGAGCACAGTTGCTACTTAGCTTCCAGCAGCTCTGATCCTTCAGCTGTTAATTCTACCACGGCCCCTTTTTACCTGTATACATGCAGGATATCAGATTATTTCTAATACTGGCTACTGTGGGCAATGACGTCCCCAGGTGGTGTAAGCTTTTACAAGTTGTTTCCTTTTAAAACAGCTATTACATGGACAAAAACATATCTGGAATCAAGCATAAATAAGTAGATTTTGATTCTTCATAAGCTCAAACAAGAATTCCTTTTTCAGTAGTGAAAGTACAAACTCTTGTACTACTTCTGCTTAAGATCCCCTTCTTCCATGAAGGAGGCAGTTGTATTCATGTTGTTCACAGTCTTAAATTACTGTAGCAGTAAATCACATTGAAAGCAAGTGAACAGTTTAAATAAAATCTTTAATTGCTTATTTACAACAAAGGCAGTGACTTGGCAAATTGGAAATTATGATTTGCACTTTCAACTAACTTCAGATACAGCAAGTACGGTCAACTATAAAATGTGCAGCCTAGTGAGTAAGGCGCAATATTTACATCACACTAGTACTGCAAAAAAAGCACTTAAGATGAATTTACTGACAGCCAGAAGTTAAACATTTATCCTGTAAACACTAACAATCCTGAAAAAGAAAGTTCAGATGTCACGTAAAAGGTCAGTGCTCTAAGATTTTTCTTTGTCAGATTGCAACCATGCAGCAGTAATAAAAATCTGGTAACGGGATACAAACAATCCTCCTCCGATTTTGTCAGTTTTTGGAAAATAACATTTTGATACAAGTGTACTTCTTGGTCTGAAATCTAATGCTACTAATCCCAGTATTAGAATAGCTACATAGTTTTACCTTAGCAGAGATCTTTTCTGGGGTGGTGGTGGTAAAATAATCAACTATTACATTTGAATCCAGGATATACTAGAAATATAATACAATAATCACACACACACGCACAAATTTATGGGTACAAATTACTACAGACATATTGTCGAGATACTCTGCTTTAACAGCTTAAAAAAACCTTAAGTGTTAAAGAATTTATTTTAACCAAAACTAAATAATCAGTTTTGTTTTCTACTTCCTTTTTGACATCCTTTATTTCCTGTCTTTTGTCATCATCCGTCCCACCCCGCCCTTGTATTTTAAAGTAGTAACCGTTGTCTCATTTTAGAAGGACAGGAAAAAAGTCATCAAGGGTAAGGTATTAATCTAAAACCTATCATCCTGGCTGTCTCTTCTGAATGTAAAAGACTTACAAATTATGAGCTACAAGGACAACAGATACATCAAACATATGTTCTGGGCATGGAATTTCACAGCGAGGCCTGTAGGGAATGCTTTCTTTTATAGATTCTTTACTGATGCTCTGTAATAATTACCTTAATGAAGGGGGTTTAGTTAGCTATGCAGGAAAGGGAAGATGGCATCTGTACAGAAGTTACCATTTCGTCCACACTCCATTCAACACTGGGGTATGGAAGTTACCATTGTGAAGAGGACAACCAAAGCTAATACACTTTTTGCTACTGCCCTCCTTAAATTACGTTCTTGAAATTAAGTTTTCCCATTGCTAGTAGTACTTACACTTCTTCTTTAGTAGAGCAGAGTATTTTTTCAAATGTTTCTTTTGTATCAATAAAAGTCAGTGTCATTTCGACATGATGTGTAAGCGTTCAGCAGTTTTAAGGAGTCGATTCTTAAATTTATGGAGAAACCTCTACAGTGTGCGTGGTTTATATTCACGGGGTACTCACAGATCCTCACATCCATTATAGAGTCAGAATTCGGATGTCAGTTACAGCCATATCCTCTTCCAGTCTGCGCAGTAGCTTTTCCAAACTTCTCAACTTTCATCGCTAATAGTACTTGTTAACAGAACATATGTGGCAAGTATATAAGACTCCTTGACACGTTCAAAGAAAGGGTGAGTCTAACTTTTATTCAAAGCTTTCTCTGATGAATTGTGCTCTAGTTCAGGTGACTCCTCAGTGTCTCGAATAGCAGAAGTGTTGTAAATACCATCAACTGCAGGGGCTGTTGTTGGTGTTGTGAGAGGTGTCACAGTGTGTCCGAACCCCTGATAATGGCCCATGGGTGAAGATGGCATTGAAGAAGCATCAGAAATAGGGTCTTGAGTAGATGAAGACAGTAAACTTGTATGCTCGTTTTGTTCATGATCCTCAGCAAAGAACATTTTCCTTGGCTGGCCCAAAACTGTCCTTCCTAGAATTATGCCAAATGAAAATACTTTTTAATACTTCTAGCACTACCAAGGTCTTTGAACACATCAACTCTAAAATAGACATGCTAAATTAGAAGATAAGTCTTTAAAGGGATGCCTTTGTTTTTTAAATGAAAACAAAAAAAAAGAAACAACACAAACACAACAAACAAACACCAAAAGCCAAAATGGACATTGCTCTCTTCTATATGACACACCTGAAACCTACCCTGAGATTCATCTATTTAAAAGAAAACTTATAAACAAGACTCTAGCTCAGTCAGGAGTACTGGAAAGAGCAAAGTGCCAGATAAACCATGAAATCCTCTGAGGATACAGCTGCCATTACTTTGGTACAGAGTGTTCTCAAGGTACTATAGAGATGGATAATACTGTAAAATGAAGCTGGAAATACATACGTTGTTAACAGATCATACAAATCTGTCACTTACCAACATTTCGAACCTGTTCTGATATATCTGCCCTTATATCAGAAATATCCCACATTGCAAGGAAAGAGTCGAAACATGACCCTTCTTCAGCTTCTTGGACATAAGGTTTATAGGAAAAACTGTAGTGATGAGCAATAGCAGCCAGGAACATCTCAACACAAATGATGAAATCCTGCAATGAGAGAGATATTGACTTAATCATTCATAACTGGAGAAAAATAGCTCCCAGGTTTCTTCTACAACTGAAAGACTGCAGTTGCCTTGGGATACTGGCATCAGCTACTTCTCCACCAGAAGGAGGATATTCTTGGCAGGCTTCAGAGACCCATGGGTACTACATGCGTATCGGAATCAGTCCCTCCCTGATGGCCTGACTTGCTGGAAGTGGATATTCAATGGGAAGCAGCTCTACAATGAATTCTTGCAAGAAGAAGTACAAGGATATCAAACAGAAGTATTTCACTGGGGCACACTCCGTCTGCCCAACACATGGATATAGAAGTGCTGAGCATAAAACTCACTCAGGGTGACTGGCTAAAACTCTGCCCGACTTAGAATAAGTACAGTACTAATCTAGCCTGTGTTAAAGTGAGAATGACAACATTTGCCTGAGATCAGCTACATCACCTTACATGTAGCCATTCCCCCTAAGTAATTGTCTGCTCCTACCTGTAGGCCAGTAGCCACAGCTTCCACACTTTGCCATTCCCAGGTGTGCTTCTCAGAAATAACGCCAACTTTCACCAACAATGCAATAAGCACAGCTTGCCTATAAAGATTATTTTTTATTATTATTGTAACAGTAGTGCCAAAAAACCTCCAAGCAAATCTGGTAAACAAAGCCTGTTCATATGTGTACATATGAAGAATCTTACAAAAAACTTACTGTTTATCTCTTTAGATTTTAAGAGAAGGAAAACAGACTTAAAAAGAGATGTCATTCATCCATGGTCCTAAAGACCAACAGAGAACAGAAC